TTTTCGAGTAGATGCAGTACGGCACTGCGGAAAGGGGACGCTTTGTATGTTAGTTCTCGCGCCATATCCCAAAGGGACGCATGCGCTTAAATGATTACAATCAATCAATCAATCAGTCGCCTGGTGCTCCTGTGAAGGGCCGGCGAGATGAAGGATTGACAGTGGACGAATATCATGTAAACAGAGTAGACTCAAAGAAGCGGAATCACCGGGGTGGGCCAGGGAGGGCCAGGGAGGAAGCTGTAGAGGGACGCATGCGCTTAAATGATTTCAATCAATCAATCGACTGGTGCTCCCGCCGCGGCAAAAGAAGCCACCAGTCAAAGCCAACACCCGAACGCAAGACGCTTTGCAGTCACCCACGTCGCCCGGAGTCTGGAAAGAGAGCGGAGGAAGAAGAGAGAGAGGGCAGCCAAGCCGTGCGGAAAATACTACCCGCATAGATTCAAGCTCCTCCGAACTCGGAAGCTAGACTAAGCAGCGATGAGGGCTTGCAAAAGCCTGGCGAGTAGATACTTTAGATTCGCCACAGGCAAAGACCTAACTGCGGAGTACCTGGAAACAATAGGGAGAGCCACAAGCGACGAGTGATGGTGGTGCGGAGACTGCCGTCAGAACCGGGAGCACCTGTTTAAGGATTGCAGACACTGTAGCAGACAACAGGAAAGATCTAAAGCAGGTCGGCCTCACAAAAGACATGCGCTCTCATATTTTCAGAACGGAGGGCGACAGAGGCCGTTCTAAACTATTTGGAAATGACAGATGTGGGGAAAGTACAGAACAATCGAGAAATAAGAAAGAGCGAAGAGCGAAGAGAAGGGGAGTGGGTGTGGGTGTGGGAAGAACATGGAGAGGAGGGAGTTGGAGTAAATGAGGTGGAAATAAGGTAGAGAGAAAGGTAAAGAGGGACACGAGGAGAGGAGAAGCAGTGATTAAAGAGGAAGATAAGTGTACAAAAATGGATAGAGGGAGGAGAGAACGTGCTTAGCAGTGGGCTATCACAACTCAAAGGCGGCCATCGCCAGCGCGAAAGGCCGGCAAGAAAGAGGGTTGACAATGGACAATCATTATGTATACAGAAATTGATAAAGAAACAGAAATATAGGGGAGGGGAAGGATGGAGGCTGTAGAGTAGGTGACGCACCATATCCCAACGGGACGCATGTGCTTAAATGAATTCAATCAATCAATCAATTGCCTTGTGCTCGGGTGTAACTCTCCACACCACGGACGAAACGAGATGATGGTGTCTTCGGTCTTGGGCGACGGGGTGAACAATCACCATGGCGCTCTGAACTCAACTTCAACTTTAACGATGGCGAGAGTAGAGTAGATTAGAGGAGAGTATTGCATCTGATCGCTTATTGAGTCTTCTGGTTGACTAACGGACTTTGTCAGTCCGTGGGTCAACTGGTGTATCATTGAGTGAGAGTCCGCCAATTACCTGGAGCTCCAAATATGCAATACGCCGGTGCCCAACTATAAGACCTCATAAGGGAGCATACTGCTCAGAAAATAAGTGAAAGCCAAATAACCTAGTGTACAAATCAATTAACTTGACAGTACCACCGTGTGAAATCTCATCTTTCAGTACTGCACCTCGTTCTCCACACCGTGTTCACAAGACCCGTCCCCCAAACCTGCCTTGTCCCCAGGGCCACATCCTCCACCCCTCGTTCGCTGATGTTTGCTCCTCGAAACTACGTCTTCTCAACAAAACCATGATCATCAGGTGCAAGTTCTCAATGAACCCAGCCACATATTCAGTACGAGTATAACAATGGCCTGCGGTATTACTCTGAGAGCGCTTGGTACGGTTGGAGTTCGCAATTAGAATTAACCCCAAAAGGTGCACTTGGGCATCTGTGTCGTTACTGGAAGTAGTAATCGCTTGGCCAAGTATGACGTCCTCCAACTGTGACCGCGCTTCATCGTTGACAGAATTCTGATTCTTCCGTAAATGCCCATGACTATGTAGAGTGCACTTAATATGAACCCGGAAGCAATTTCACATGCAGCATTGAATGTTTCTCATATCCGGTACACGATCCGAGCAGAGACATTATCGCATTCTATGATTCTTTATAGCTTTGGAAACTCCAAACTGGCGACATGATCCCCTTATACAAGATTGTCTGGATAAGGGTTTTGCGGTTCGTACCCGTTGCATTGGAAACTCATTTTCTGCCGAACTGTGTGTTCCGTTCTGGATTCTACTTCATTTTCTTTCACTGTTGGAGGAATCCGACTTCTCTCAGGACTACCAGGTGCTGAGAACATGAGTAGCGTGTGCATCGATGTTCTCATGTTGCGCGCTGCGAAAATTATATGATGTTCTCTCCCGACGGTATGCACCAGGTCGCGTTTGATCCGCTGCATCTAAATTCAACCTGTCGACCAGTGCTGCTCCAGATTCAGACGACAAAGAGGACCGATATCGATGGACAGAGTTAAGGTATGCTGCTTCCTCGCAAGTATGTAAAATCTTTGTTTGGCATAATGGCCAGAAAAAAACTTGACTATTTAGTTGTTGATATGGCGACCGTGAAAACAAGTATACAGTTTTGAAAATTATCCAAAGTGTTCTGACGAGCACAGTCCTAAGCGTCTGCGTTGTGCTGTCTGGATGCATTCGTATCCTGATGGTCTGTTACTATTAAACGCGCCAGCCAGTACTCGGGGACACCGTCCGCAAGCTGCAAGAGGAAAAGCAACGAGAGAAGGGAATAAGGGGAGGTGCCAGTGTGTTGGTGGTTCAGA